GGGGGCCCCTTGGAGAAACGAAGGTCCAATGATGCAGGGTCGGCGGCACTGGCGTCTGCCTCATGGCAAAGCCAGGGCCATGGCCTGCAGCGGCAACCCCAGGGCGTTGCCCGACAGGGTCACGCCCATGCCGCCGACCCCCTCCCTTGGAAGCCCTGGAGGCGTGGTTTGGGGGTCAAAATTAAGGTGATTTTTGGACGTGTTTTTGAGGCTTCCCCCGACGCTACGGAATGTTTTGGGCATGAATTTTAGGCCAGCATCATCAGCACAATGGGGCCTTCATTTTTCACTTTTAAGGCCACCTCAACATACCTAGAGTTTTGGAGGGGATTTCTCAAGCCATGTGTTTGCCTTTGCTATAGGCAACTTCTGGGCTGATGCTTGGTCAAGACTGTAACCGAAAACCCCTCTCAACCCCCAAAATTTTGCGCACACACGCAGGTGTGTGCTTGCCAGCTTGGCTGCTTGTTTGCTTGCTTGGTCTGGCTTGCTCGCTGTCTGCTTCGGGTGCTTCTTGGCTTGCTCGCTGGTCAGAACAGAAATTTGAAAAAACTCGAAAAATGTGGAAAACACAAAACACGTGCTGATTTGTGAAAAGTTCAAGCCAAGGCGGTGCAGCTCAGAAAGCTGACCGGTTGCTTGGTATTCTTTGTACCATGACAAAGATTGGGTGGACATGGTCCGCTGTCTGTGAATTGAAACGTTTTTCCAAGCGAGATGCATGCCCGATCTTCCAGAAAGCCTTGCCTTACTCCCTTTGAAGTCTTGTGCTGGAACACCTGCAGTCACCGATGGGATGCTGAAAGCAAACACCACTGCTAAGCACGCCAGCAAGGCCATACAGACTTCGTATAGGCGCCGCATGGGCATGTCTGGTGAATCCACGCCTGCCAGATTCTTCCAGGTTAAGCTGTCCATCCTTGGTCTTGAGCCCGCCTCTTCCGGAGGCAGCCGCCTCCAGGTGCTCATACTCTCCCTTGGTGTACCTTTCTTTAATGAGAAGGAAAGTGAGCTCGCTTCTGAAATGCAAAGCAGTACTCCCTACATTCAAGGCAACACCAGCTCTCGCATGCCACATGCCCTGCTCTCTTGAAAAGCCCGGCAATAGAGATCTTTAGACTACTGATGTAGGACTCCATTGAATGTGTTGAGAGATGCATTGAACAAAGTTGATGAAAATTCTAAGCAGCCAGGTCCTTCTAGAAGAGGTCATATGGCTTTAAAGTAAGCACTCCAGCACTTGGGTCACCCCGACATTGCGGCTCACTGCTGAAGCCACCCTTTGGCTGACCTGACGCGCTTCTACGAAACAGCTTTTGTCGGGGCTGCATGGGACAGTAAAGTTGGCAGGGCGGCCGACACAGCTAAGCACACTAGGCGCGGAGGACACTGTGCTAGCTTCTGCCAGCTGGCCCAAGGTGAGAACTTTCGAGTCCTGCAGGGCTAACTCCGATCCAAGGACAGCTGCCGTTTCAACCCTTTCGCCGCAGCGGCTCCTCCTTACTCTAAGTGAAACACTACCACTGCAAAAAAAGAAACTGCTAATGAAATTCACCCAAACAAGCTCAAAGGACTTCGCCTTCGCTGAGCCAAGAAGCAATTCGATGGATAGATGTATCTGACATGCTTTCTGACAAGTTTCCCCAAGTTGCCTTCAGAATCCCGCACGGAGTGCCCGAGAGATCAGACAGGAATGCACAGCTTTTGTACCAGCTGGGAAAGGCTCTTCTTCTGACACACTGTACATTGTCGGTCAGGAAGGCCAAATTCCATCCACGGTCAGCACGGCTCCCTTGTCTTCCCAGTGGAATTCAAACTTGCCGCAAGGGGTGCCACGGAGCACAGGCTACATGACCTGGATGAGGAAGGAACCATGGGCAGCGGGAAAGCAGCACTGAACAGCTGCGAAGTCTGAGGAAAGGACGTGGCAAGCCCCAGACTTTGGCGAAGATTCCTGGCGAAGCTCTGCAGCATCTCATGGCCACCACGCGTCACGCAATGAGACTGTGGGGCGCCTCTCGAGCGATTGGAGCTGCAGACACTGCAGCTTCACTTGAGGACTCCTGATGTCCAGCTGAAGCTACCCCCGGCAAACCAAATGCCAGCTTTGCCCGTGGCATCCTGGGCAAAGCTCATGGTGCCAGATCGCATCTGCAGCCTCAGATACATTTGAGGATGTTGCTTTGCCATGCCTTCTCTTGCTGTCAAGGCCCAAGCTGTCTTGCAGTTTTTCGAGCAAGCGACTGGATGTCTGGCACCTTGGGATATACAATCAGAAAGTCCAACCTGCTAGGTCCCACATGCTGCATGAACTCTCCTAGCAGCATGGTGTCTGCAACCGATTAAGCTTCAACAAGCCCAGCAGCTGAGTCCTTCCAGGTTTGACCGCGACAGAAGCTGCCCAGCGCCTGCCACATCTGCACTCACTCCCTATAGCAAAAGGCAAGGGTGGCCCAAGAACAGGCCTGAAAGCCCCAACGTGATCCTGCTTCACCGTTCCTGCTCACCGAAAGCCATAAACATGCTCAAGTGGGAACTCTGTCCCTCAACTCAGACGGCCACTCTCTGAACAATCTGGCCATGATGAGCCCTCGTTCTCCACGGCCCTCATGCAGCACCTAGATGTGAAGAAGCTGATCCCACAAACCGTTGCTCATGCTTTGCTGGAGGATATTGGCTGAATTCTTCTGGACTGGGTTGGACACGCGCACCGTCTGGGTCACCATGATCCACAAAGTGGCAACGCTGGACCGCAGAGCCAGGTGGTAACGAAAATCTTGGTTTCAGACTCCTGGGAACCACATCTTACAGGATGACACCACTCCAGCCTATTGTCGAGAACATATGATTACTGTACAGAAAAACAGCGAGGAAGCATCCTCTGAACCCTGACATTCATGATATCTACTTGCAATCAGAGCACAAGGAGGCCGTGAAATATGCATACTGAAGCCCACCGCCTTTCACTCTAAGACCTTGAAGCCTCAACGCAACAAAATGCCACGACGGAATAAGTGCTGTCAAACCGCAAGCACACTTCGAATCCCAGCTAAGCATTGGACCGAAAGACATTCTCAACTTCACTAGGCGAGTCCAAAATTGCCAGCCGATTAGACTACGACAACGCAAACCAAAACCCTGACTGTAGAAACTTGGCGGACTCTACTAAAACCAAAACACGACATCGAAACCCGCAGTGGATCCCTGGCAATCAGAGTGAAACTTCCAAGCCTCCCGGGCAGGCCGTCCAACCCTGCACTGCCAGAGATCGCAAGACCTTTTCAGCGGGCCACCTTGCAACACCTGGAAACCCCAACAGGCAGGACGCCAGCTCACATACCCTGACGCCGAAAAACACTCCAGCGAACATCATCTCATCCCAAACAGCTTAACAGACCACGCAACGCGAACCAACAGATTTCTGTGGAGACCACGCCAACACCCAGAGCAGCAAAGTATGACATGATCAACTCTCTTCCGGACCACACTCTGACACCAGAAGAACTGCAAGAGACCACAACATTTTTTTCTCACCTGCAGACTAAACGTCTGTGCACTGAATCCTCTTGGTAATAGTGTGAATAGTTAAATCTCACTTAGCGTGGAGTAGTGAAACTTAAGGAAAGCTACTGCTATCTATGCAGTAAACAATTGATTGCCTTGTAGGATCTTTGTATAAACGATGTGAAGCAGGGTATATGGGCGATATGCCACAACGTGACCATTTTAACCCGTGGAGACCTCGAGCAAAAGAGCAAGCTCCAGTAGACATCAAATTCCAGTAGGAAAACACACGTTTAGCCCTTGTAGCTGTAATTACTTTGACCCTTTTGTTCCTTTTTTAATGACCCATCTTCCGAGAGGAGCACGTAGCGTGCCATCTCCTCACCGGAGGAGTCCAGGATTCGACCTAGGACGAATCGGATGTTCACCAAGACCAGCACCTACTCATGCTTCACAAACCCATCTTGCCATGTCACGGCGATCGACGCTCCAATCGTGGCAGAAACAAAATAACATCTCAGCAGATCTTATGCGTACATAATCTCCATAGCTAGGTCTGCAGCAGTAGGCGTTGGAAACCTTCTCGAAGGTAACTCCGCGGGTGTAGACCTGAGGCATAATCTTTAGGCAGCTACCGTTGCCTCGAGAAAGAATCTCAGGGATCAGCATTGACTACGAACACAACTTGCTGTATGTCCACCTAGCCATCTTGCATCTGACTGGCATCGGCATGCTCAAAGCGCAGGCGCGGCAGGTATTTCTTGAAGATTGGCGGTAATGACCTGCTCAGGGCTATCTGGGAAGACACTCAAGGCTTTGACGCAATAATGCAGGCCTCGTCATCCCCATCACCCTCAGCAGGGCTGTTGCACTGTATATGTCTTCATGATCAGGAACTGATCGCTACATCACTGGGCCTCCCCGGTGAGGTTGTCTCCGCTATGAGTCAAGGCCCATCCCTAAAGAACAGAGAAAAAAAGAGGAGAACACACACGCCCAGCTCAAAATCAGCAAGTCGCGCAATTCCGGCCTCAAGCTCTCCAAAGAAAACAGCACCCCGAACCTTAGGCAAGCTTGGCCGTGCAAACTTTTTGCGTGTCCAATCCTGCGCAGTCAAAATTGCACAGATCCCGTCATGTGTTAAAGTGAATGCTTGGAGCCTCACGCATCCATCGCCACCGACAACTACCGCAGACACCTATGCATGCATGACCAGCTCGAAAAAAAATTGCCAACTGAGCTCTCAGTGCAATGGGGCTTGAGCATCCAAATCAACATCGCCACCAGCATCCGATGAGACATCCCATCCTGCCAAAGAGGAATACTTCCCTCGACTGTTTTACTAGTGTAGGCTGCTTGACTGGCCTAAACAAGCCTGCACTTTGCCAAGGGATTCGCTTTGTGGCCTTAGCTATGTACTGTCTGCGTGCGCAATCTAAAATAAAACATAACGCTTTATCCATAGCCCCATCCTCTGAGGCCCAGCAGATCCACAACAGATGCTTTCTCCATGGCAAACGCCACCTGCCACAATAGGATATGTTTAGACTTCAGCACGCTGAACTTAGCCAGGTAAAAGTCATGATGCGCCTTCTGACGCTTTGGAGCACCCGGAATAGCATTGCGGATGATGTTCCTTCAAGAAATCAGAAAGGTCAGGTCTGCCGCCTGTAGCGTGCAAATCTACGCCTACCGGAACCTATCTGGGCTCTCACATCAATGCAGAATGAGACTCCCAAGCACAGGTTCCAGGATGTCAATAAAATGCCGGCCTGGCTGGTTCATGCGCTATGCAGATCGGGCGCCCACTTATGTGCAAAACAAGCTCCTTCTCTTGCGGGCTCATCAATGATTTGAATGTGCCATCCTTCTTCCTGGCCAGCAGCTCAGCGACACTGCAATTACATGTGCTACCATGGAAATAATATGAATGCATCGAAGAATTGGGCACCCAGTTTGGGTACAAAGGGTGCGCTTTTGCTAGTCATTTGTTCTATAACTTCAGACGCCACCCAGCAGTCCTGACGGACGATGGATGCCACAGCGTCTACTTCGTAGATACTCTGCTCCAAGGGAAATCTTGCGACCTGTCAGGCAAGTCCGCCAATAATCTGACAAAGCGAAGGTTTTCCAGAATTGATTGTTCATCTGAACATGCAAGGCGACATGGAACTCGAATTCACCGAGAGCTACTGATGTTTGCCACGAGTGCACATTCAGTACATATCCCGGTTGGTTCCAAAGCCATTTACGTCTCATTACTTGACAACAGGTGTGGGGAATCTGAGTGAGCCTGGTGTGCCACGTGTCAGTGCGCTGTGCCTCGCAATCTTTATTCCCCTCCAGCACATGCAGCTTTCCATTCTGTGCCTTGCAGGAGATCAACATCTCTCCACTGAAAAACTTTCTGGGAGTATGCAATCTACGTGAACCTGCTGCGTGTCTTTTCGAACTGAATTAACGTATGTGTGAAAGACGTTCTGCCTCTTCGCAAGATTCTGTACGAAGTCACTCGGCACGTTTCAAGTCACAAAATGAGGTGCCAGCGTCGCGCAAGCTGCCACCACTGAAAGCAGCAATTACGAAAATTAGTAGCCTCCAGAGCATCAGATGTGAAGCGCTTAATATGAAGCCTTGCCGTTGCAGATCCAGGCCCACCTCACATTTTCCGGCAGCTTCGGCAAATTCACCCAAATGAGTTCGTCGAAACCTGCCTTGGAGCATTCTTTGCTAGGGCTTAGCGTACACGGGTTCTCTGCATCCACCATGCAATTGCCCAGCCTTCTGCCCAGTCTGTTCATCCCCGGAGTGCGTGATGCATCCCTTGAGTGCCTGAACGCGGCAAGCACGACATCATTTGGTGGGATGCTGGCTCAAAAACCACGACAGAAATGTCACTGCCCAAACAATTGAACAGCCGCCCGACATTCTCCAGCACTGTGGGAGAAGTTTGCTGCCTTCATGTTGTTGTAGTAAACCGCATCGATGATAAATCCGCGGTCATCAACAACAACAGCCTGCAACAAACTCTACCAAAACACAGTTATTGACAAGAAAACCCAAGAAACAATCCCAGTGCCTGCAAATCTAGATCCACAACACGCCCAGCAAAGTCCCACGACCTTGAAGGAAAGAATGTTGACGACCGTCCATTCCGCTACCGCTCGGCTCAGATCCAGGCACGGCAATACCATACCTTGGAAAGCACAAGTCGACAAATTCAGTCGGATTCGGCACCCCACCATGGAGATATATATCAGCGCACTGCGAGAAGAACATGAACAGCGAACTTAGGCAAAGCTGAGGTGAAGTCTTGGCAGATTTCAACCGTATGTCTTCCTGTACGAGGGCACCTCGCCAAACGACAGCCGCAGTTGGATGCAACTTCAAGTTGGCAACCAGTCTAGTTACAATCTGCATTGGTAAGGGCCCAACACATGCTTGCGATTGGCACCCATGAACATAGCGTGCCAACACATTAGCCGCAGAAAACAATTTGGTCGTGTATGCGGGCTAGCTGCTACCGGCAAACCAAAGCGTTATCGCTTGGGCTGCAAATCAATCCAACAAAAATCGGGCACTTTCAAGCTATGCCCCACCTATTGCCATTTCAGTACAACCCTGTGAATAAAAAACACAACGTTACATCAAAAGATGTTGCACACTTCATAGTGCCAAACATCACACGTTGTTTTTTCCCCACACTACGTATAAGCTTGAGCAAAACAAGTCGTGCTGAGGCATCAGCACAAAAAAACAATGTAAAAAACTTGTTGGAATGCACGGCTGCCTCTGCAACAACAACAACAACACCTTAACGTTCATGATGCGAGCCTTCACGCTCACGGCCCCACCCATCCATTGAAAAATGAAATAAAACAGCGTCCACCGATGTTGGTGGGTCCTTGTGCAACGATTAAACAGCTCGCGCAACGATGAGAACACACTGGCGAAAGATTGAATGTCAGAAAACTGAAATAGCACAAGCACAAACGTTCCAAATACAGATACGCAGACTGCGACTTGATGTGTTTCAGCGATAAGCTGCTCATCTGCAGGAGGCCTGCTGCATGAAACTGCACAGCCCTCGACTGCTTTCACAAGGCGTTCCGATTGGCTGCACCTCTTGGTCGAATTCTACCCGCAAACGTACCTGACACAACAAATGTGCAGGGTACAAAGTTACACGAACAAAGCCCGCAGGACCCGAGAGCTTAACTTGGACCCATTGCAAAGGCCGGGAAAAGTGGGAAAGAGCAGGAACCCAACGGAAGCCGAGTTGCAGCCAAGTCTAAAACCAGAAAAACATGGAGGAAGCACTGTAAGCCCACCAGCCCACTACGAATCCAGTTGAAGCAGTCAACAGCCTGCACCATTGGAGGGCAGGCCAGGATTCGCCTTCTACATAAATGGATTTACCATATACACACGCAAAATTTATATTCACCCAGTGTGTTGGACTTTGTGAGCTTTGGACAAGGAACATTGACCTTATACACAAATGATGTTTACTTCATACACGAGTAAATTTACCTGATACTGAATTCGGGGAGACCCTTCTTGTGCAACCATTTTGCTGGCAAAAGCCGGCCTGGAAAATAAGGCTGTCTATCAAGGCCGGACATTGGCTGCCAAGGTTTTGGGGCAAAAATGCGGATCAAAATTGAAAAGAAAAAGGAAGTACATTGAAGATGTGATTTCTTTCTGGGACTGGGCCCGCTTGCCCTTGACAAAAAAGGGCTTGAGCGCTTTTCATGTGGGCTGCTTTGTGTAACGGTTGAGGGGCGAAGGTGCCCGAAACATTCAAGTTCCCGAAACATCACATTGCGATGTACAACATAGAAGCAAACTTGAATACATGTGGACAAAGCATACATTTGTCGGCGCTCTGAGGCACTGCGCCACATTGCGCAGAGTGGGCCGCAAGCTTGCGTTCCAGCGGGCTCACAAAAGCCAAGCCCAGCGCAACCGTAAAGTGACTTCAAAGCTAAGGATGGAAAGTACGCCTCATTGCTTTCACCTGAACGCTGGATGGAAAGGGGGTGTCCAAACCTTTTTGAAAGGTAGCAGGCGGATCACATACGGAATCCCTGTGCTGCACAACAGAATTCCAAAAGAAGCTCATCGAGTTCGCTTCCTTTATGTCGGGCGGGATCGCAATGACTGACCATTCGCGACTTTGTCGAATCCTTTTCGACTTTGAGCGTGAAGCCAAAGGATTTCTCGACACAACTCACTCACACGGAGCTGGGCGGGTCTTTGCCTTTGCCCCCCTTGCCAGTCCGAGGGCTCCGCCCTGTTCCCCTGGGTGATCCTCGAAGGCAACGTGACTGATCCACCGGGCAACCAGTGTCACAAAGCTCCAGACCACTCGAGTGTGGAAAAGGATGCAATGTCGGGATATGGAAATTGGACGGGGGCGGGACGAACTTCCCACCCAAATCCCTGACGATCTTGTAATCAAGTCGACTGCGTCCGTCGGCCAAGTTGGATTTAGACTCAACCCCGTCAATGTAGACATCAAGTCAAACTCTTGATGTCTCAAGCCAGTAGTCTCCGATAAGAGGGGAAGAGTCCGTTTGCGGACCATAACCTTGACCAAACAAGCAGCAGCAGAATCGCTGTCTATGAAATGAAACAGCCTGATATGGTGCAGCCGCTCTGGCCACGTGGCCAAGGCGAGATGTCCTGCCAAAAGCGCGAGCTGTCCCATATATGACGCGCCGCGCCCACGCAGCGATGAGGGGTCGGAAGCATCCGTAAAGGATGGGCCATACTGAGTCATCTGAGACGCGGAGATTGCGTGGGGGCGACAGCGCAAGAAACTCTTTCAGCAGCCTTAGGCAGCATTCAAAAACGAATCGATCACAAGCGACATCGGCCAACCTTTCCTAACCGACTGCTGCACGTGAAACCAAGCGGTCTGTGTGGTTGCACTGCTCCTGTCCAAGACCTACGACAACAAGTAGACGAGTAGCACTCTCATTTTCTTTGGGCTGCTCTGAGTGCGTCGTTCAGAGGGCTTGGAGGCATGAAGGCTTCAAGCTTCTCTGACCATCCCTTTCGCCCTTTGGTGAGAAGGCTAACTTTGAAGTGCACTAGCTACTCCCTAAACCGACCACCATCCCACTAGCACCACCACTGGTGGAGGTTA